TTTTTTTTTTTAATTCTACAAAATCTAGCAGCCTTAGAAATAAACACGGTATAAAAATAAACTTAGGAATAAACTGAGAATAAGAAAATATTAGTACAAACTTTGTTTATACCCAGTTTATTTCTAAATTTAACTTTGTACCGCGTTTATTTGTAAGGCTGTAAAATAATATCTAGCCTTAGCCCCTTATTTACTATCTTCTATTTATCAGATATTTTGATTAACATTGTATTAAAATATGTGTATTTATTTTTCAGACAGAGTCTGTATTTCCACGTCCAATCCAGTTCTCTGTCAGAGTCTAGACAAAGATGGCAGTCGTGCTGTTTGTCAACCGGTTGAGTCAAGGTATGTCTCTTCTGTTTTGCACCCATTTTCAAAGACATTCGCATGTGTGAATCTTTGACTAACGTTACTAATGTTATAAAGAAGAAAGATTTGTATTTTTGTATGTATTGAAATAACTCAAAAACTACTGGACTGTTTTCAAATTTTCAAATTCTAACACCAAAAGGCTACGTTATCAATGTAACATAGGCTATATTATTTACGAGCTTTCGCCCGTAAACTTCGTTAGCGGTGATTAAAAAAAGTAGTCTATAATATGCCCTGTCAGCTACCCTACAGTGAAAGTCCCATTCGTTTCAGAGATTACCCGGAACAAACGCGGCTTGTGGACAGACATACAAAAAAATTAATTAGATTTTCGTTATCGGCAACGTAAATACGTCTTCCCGAAATCTGGACTTTTTTCTTTTTGTAAAAACAGACACTCCAATTTTATATGTATAGATAGATATATATGATATTATAAAGAGGAAAGATTTGTATTTTTGTATGTATTGAAATAACTCAAAAACTACTTGGTCGATTTCAAAAATTCTTTCATCAAAAAGTTACGTTATCATTAAGTAAAATTTGCTATGTTTTTTATTTCACGCGGGTTAAGTCGGAAGCAACAACAAGTTTTTAAAACTTATTAGTTTCTACTATTGTTCCAGAATCGACTGCGCATTACGATTGGCTCGTAACACAGTGGATGTTGGTGTTTTCTCTGAAGAGGAAATGATGTTGTTATCTCAAATGCAGCCAAACGACAACAGAGTGATAGCAACCATCAGAGATGTTAATAGACAAGGTATACTAAATATTTTTTTTTTTAAGAGCGGCTACATGAGAGCGCTCTTGTTTCCCTAACACAATTTAAGTCAGGGGACCTGGGGAGCGGGTGTATTTATTTCTTTATTTTAAACTAAATAATTAGCTATGGTAATTCAACTATTTTTTTATTGCGTCATTATTTTTTAGAAAATCAACTGCATTTTTTTCATCGAAACCGCATTTTTTTGTGACTGATTTGTCACTGTTTGCCTTGAATTTACAGATTCACCGGGCTTGAGGTGGCCCAGCGCAGATGGCGCTAAACCTCTTTTATGAGTAAATCGAAACCGCATATATAACTTTTGTTATTTATTTAGATTTATTTGATATTAGATTGTTACTGAATACTGATTGTAATTTCTTAGATGTAAGGTATAACAAAAAAAATACTATTTATTGCCAAGAAAAAAATGCAAAGACAAAACATACAATGTTAAGATTGTAGATGGCTACAAAGGAAGAGGAAGACCGAAGAAAGTATGGATTGTGTGAAAGATATGCTTAAGAAAGGAGTGTATTCAGATATGGCTGATAGATGTATGGAGCACATACTGTGCCGACCCTCCGTAAGGGATAAGGGCAAGTGGATGATGATGTTGAAAACACACAACAAAATTTATAGAATTTATTAAAGAATTAGAAAATATGAAAAAAACATACAGATGAGTTGAGTACTTCCTTTTGGGAAGTCGGTCATAAATCAGTTCTCAGCCAAAAGGAGGCTCAGCTGATGCGGCCTCCAGTTTGACACTGAAAGCCGCGCTTTTCAATCTCCTTTTAATTACTGTAGCATAATTGTAGTTAGCACGTTTTATTTTTTTACATATGTTGTGTTTATTGAACTTTTCAGAGCCATACGCTTTCGAAGCAGTAGCGGTGGTACCTAATAGTCATACCGGAGGACTGGAGGGTCTACGAGGAGGTAATTACTGCCACCCTGGCTTCGATGAGGCGGAAGTGCGCTGGTCTCCACGAGTTTTGAAGACTTTCGAACGATCGGTCAGTATTTTATCTATTTAATATTATAAAGAGGAGATATTTGTATTTTTGTATGTATTGAAATAATTAAAAAAAACTACTGGGACGATTTCAAAAATTCTTTGAGCATTTAAAAGCTATGTTAGCAGTGAGTAACATAGCCTATACTTTTTATTTCACACGGACAAAGCCGCAAATAAAAGCTAGTATTTACATAAAAAGGAAAGATTTATATTTTACATAGGATACTCACTTTTAACTTTTTCAATTTCACGCGAACGGAGTCGCGATCGAAAGCTAGTATGTTTATGGAAAAAAAGCAAATGGCTTAATCACTTCGACTAAAATGTTAGTATAATGAATATGTAGATGGCGTTGGTATCGTATTAGATCACGGTAACATCTTGTTAAGACACTAAAATTTTAAATAAATCAATTTTTACGTTTAAATTTAATATGATAGAAATATACACAACTCATTACAATAAAATCTTTTATTTCAGGTTGCACGTACTGATCGTTGCCCCGACGCTAACGTAGCTGGTAAAACCGCTGAGGAGCTAGAATTGGAAACCCTGAGTCAGTTCTTCCCCAGAGCCTGTAGACCTGGACCTTGGAGCGTCAACACCACAGTCGATACTAACTTAAGTAAGATACATCTTATTTTATGGCTTACATTTGTAAAAATTTCAATTGCAAATGTCAAAATTAAAATGCACAATTTATAACGAAGACCGTGGGATAACAATGTAAAGATAAAAATTGCTACTCTACTGCTATTGGCTTGTATTTTTTGTCCTTTTCTCGCTTAATTGTTTCTACCCAATTATTTACTCTCTTTAATAACCTCAAAATATGTAGCCTAAAGTATGGCGTAAGTGTAGGGCTTTTTGTTAAAAAATATGTATTAAAAAACACACTGTGATTGCTGGCATCCTACATGACTAAGCAACGTGTGTCTACGCTTTATTATATTAGTATAGAAGTATAGATAAAAACCCTCCGTCTTTTGTTATAAAATAAACTTAATAGAATTACAAAATAAAATATAAACATTTAAATAATGACATCTATTGGCAATTAATAAAAACACAATTAATTAAGTTTTGAGGATCTATCAATAGATGGCGTTAGTTATAAAAATATCTCAATTGAATTATCAACTATATATATTTTTTATCTATTTTCTTCCAACAATCTTTTGCAGAGGGTAGATTTTCATCTCTGTGCTCTCTGTGCGGTGAGAGCAGCGGCTGTGCGCAATACACACTAGACATGGGTGTGAATGTCGCCGGCGTGTCTAACACTAACAGACATATACAAGCACTGGAATGTCTACGTACCAATGGGAATAACAGCGTCGCATACGTCGCCTGGCAACATGTTAGAGAATACTTCACTGTGAGTATTTTACTTCTGAGTACAACAAAGTATCTTTATTTTAGAGTGGTATGGGCATGTTATGTGAAGGGATGAATCGCATGTAACAAGAAGGACGTTAGTTATGAGTGTGGAGGGGTACAACGGTAGAGGTAGACCTAGAAAGAGATGGATGGATTGCGTGAAAGCTGACATGATAAAGAAGGGAGTGATGATTGAGATGACGGATGATAGAGTTGTGGTGGTAGGTGGTGATGGTGTCGCTGGGGTGATGAGTGATGGTGCAGATTTTAAATGATGCGACCGTTATTCTTCAACCAATTTATTCACACCAAAAACACTTAATCCACAACACAATATATATAATAAAAAGAAGTAGAAGGAGAGTGCAACACGTTATAAGTAGAAGAAGAGAAGAAACACAATAATAATAAGCTGGGATAACGAGAGCGATAATTAACAGTGGTCAGCGCGGGCACAGTTTGAAAGCGACTGTTAACTAACCGCGCGCGCCGCTCGGTCAATGACCCCGGTCAGCTGTGCGGTCGCGAATTTAAATGCACCAATGACAGGTCACAAAAATACCAGCGTTGCACTATATTTCGACCACTCGTCGTGCACCGTGTTTATATGTGTGAGTGAATGTACGTGTTATGTAAGTGTGTATGTGTGCTGTGTATGAATGTTAAGTGTAACTGTGGAGTGTTTTCGCAAAATGTATAAGGTTCCCTACAGAGTGCTTTGGAGGAAGAAAACCCGGTGCGCCGACACTACGGGAGTAGGATAAGGCAGGGGAGATGATGATGAGTATTTTACTTCTGTCTTTTATACGGCTCGAAGGACCTAAAATTAAAACTACTTAAATATTGTTATGCATAACCATGAACACAGCAGTCTCCATCTTGTTGAAGACTAATAAAAGATTTTAATAGGATATGTTTTGAAAAAGTCGACTTGTAAGAAAAACAAATATTTTAAGAGAAATAATTACTGTTTAAAATACATGTATACAACAAAGTATCTTTAGTTTGAAGTCTGGTTCAAAAAACTAAAAATATCTATGCAAAAGTCGACTCGAAGGACCAAAAGGTTCCAATGTAATTTTGTATTTTACGATAAATATTAATGTGTTTGGATTATTGAAGTTCATGTCGTGACAAATTGTTTCTGTATTACCATACTTGGCCTCAGCCTTAGCACGCAAGTTTGCGTCAATGTTCAATAATTCTTACAAATCCTTAACAGTACATTTTTGACTGAAGTATGTATAGATTGTTTGAAAGAGGATATGCTTAAGAATGCAGTGAATTTGAATATTCCATCCGACCCTCCGTAGAAAAATATTTATGTCTTTGGACGAATTTAGTTGAGACCCTCGAATTATATTCCAGTCTCGCAACCCTCAAGACGCGGAGCAGTACTCCTTACTATGCGAGGACGGAACTCTAAGCCCTCTCACCCCCGAAGTGCTCAGCGCCCTCACCTCGCCCTGCGCCTTCGTGAGACAACCCTGGAGCGCCATTGTCGCTGCTTCGTGAGTTCACAACTGATATCTATAAATAGACAGGCTAGGAATTGATATTTTGTATCTATTTTATTTTCGTTATTAAATTTAACCGTTATTAACATCAAAACGCGTTTAATAGCCGCTTTCACGGCTGCATTTAACCGTTCGTTAGTATTTTAGTGTGTTGGTAACATTTCCTTTTTTTTTGTTACTAAAACTTCGTCGAATTGTGAGTTAACACATTCTTTATTTAGCTTCAATGGTCTTTTTAAACTCAAAACTTTATAATCATTGCAATTGAATATACCTTTGTTACTATTATTATTTTTAACATAGGTAGCGTTAATTCGACACTAAAGGGTTAATGTCGATACGCACACAAAATGCCACTTAACAACTCTGAGTGATAAACTTCACTTATTCAGGTCTATAGCGTCAACAGTACAAGCCAGTATGAGGTCGTGGTGGCCTAATGGCGCCAATCCGGGTGGTAACACCTGGCAGGCCATACTGTTCGGTGGCATCATAGGTGGCACCAATGCTCGTGTCATATTCGATGACACTCTGCCCTCGCCAGCGAACTACACTTCTGCTGGTATGTGAATCTATTTTTTATTTTATCTTACTTAATAAATGCGAAAGTTTAGATGGATGGACGTGAGAGTTTGCAGACTAAACGGGTGAACAGATCTCGATGACATTTGGCGTAGATAGAGAATGGTTTGGAAGAAGACACATGCTACTCACTTTTTTAATTCCACCCGGATGGAGTCGCGGGTGAAAGCTAGTGTATTACAATCAGAAAATTTTGAAATGTTACATTTTTGTTATGGCGCCATCTATTATCATTTTCATTAACCCCTATTGTTAAAAAACTTATGATTAATTTATGATAGATGTCGCTCGGTATTTTTTCCACGCAGAATTTTAAAAAACTTTGTTAGTAGCCTAAGTGTTCTTCCAGACTATGTTCTAAATCTCGACTATGTTCGAAAAGTCGAGAGCCAAACATCTGAACTTTCGTATTTATAATATAAGTAATATTTTATTATTAAATCGTACTGGCGAAAGATAGATGGCGCTTTTATAAAGACAACAAAATCTAATACGAATGTTTAGATGCTTGTTTCTATGTATGTCTAAAGTATAGTAGAACATAGTCTAGAAGATCGCATACAAAGAGCGGCGCACACAATGACTAAAATCGCACAACTATTTAGTCGCGCTTTGATTACCTTGAGCTTAAAGGAGGTGCACGCTACTCAATGTTTAGTTGTGCAACTAAACAGTTGGATTGACAATCGCACAACATTCGTAGTATAATTTAGTTAAAGGTGTCGCCCTAAATCTTTCCTACATCCAAGAATCTCATAAATTCAATTTAATTCCAGTTCGCAACATAACCAGTATAGATGCGACCACCAGCTGTCTGCCAGCTCGTCGCTGGTGCACGATATCCTCACAAGAGCATACAAAGTGTGCGTGGGTTCGAACCGCGGCGTATACACTCGGCATTGAACCAGCCGTCTCCTGCCAACAAAGGACCAACACATTCGAATGTTTACAAGACATTAAAGATGAACGAGCTGATTTTATCGCGACACCTTCTAATTATGGATATATTTCAAGACAGTAAGTATTGATAAAAAAAAACACATTTGCATAGAAATTTAAAGATATATGTGAAGTCCAGTAACAGTTGGCTCCCTCTCGGCAATAGCACTCTTAATTAAAATTGCTTTCACCCGCGATTACGTCCGCGTGGAATTAAAAAAAAAAAACAAATTGGCTAGCCTGTGTACTTCCAGACTATCTTCTACATCTATACCTTTCATCAAAATCCCTTCAGCAGTTTAGGCTACAAACTCGTAACATGTTACTAATATTATAAATGCGAAAGTTTAGATGGATGTTTGTTAGTTTGTAGTCTAAACTGCTGAACGGATCTCGATGTTTGTCATAGATTTAGAGGATAGTCTGTAACACATAGGATACATACTTTTACTATGTTTTAATAATAAATATATCTTAAACTGAGAGCTTTTGATCTCAGTTCTCATGAGACAGTATGAGTTGAACCCCAGGTCAAAGCTTCAAGGCTTTTAATTTTAAACTAATTCACAATTTATTACGAAGACCCTCAAAAATTGGTACATAATTAACTTTCAGAAACTACCAACTGTCAGCTCTGAAGTTAATTCAGAACACGCGATCAAACCCGGCAGCGTTCTCCCGCGTCGTCGCACTCATAAAGGACTCATCGCAGGATATCACACGCTTTGAAAACCTGAGGAGTAAAAAGGCTTGCTTCCCGGAGTTTGGAGGAATTGGTATGTTTCTAACATTTATAGACTGATTTAAAAAGACCAATCTATTGTACTAAAATCTTAGTACAATTATACTAAGATTTTAGTTTAATACATTTTAGTATAATAATCCGTAATCATACTGTCGCGACGTCATCTATTGATGAGTAACGAAAATCATATTCGAGGAATAATCGAGCTGTTTCCAGAATGTTCGATCGCCGCGAGCAGCGAAAATGACGTTCGCGAAAAGATGTCTCGAACATTCGAAACGGCTTCGAGAATGTTCCATTATGAAATTTATGTTATTCGGACTATCGAGAAAGTTCTGGAATAAAATGACAAATGAATAACGAAAAGATCGAAATTTGGGATATATAAGGGGAGTCAGTCGTGACTCGGGGAGTGATAAGGTGGAAAGTGAACTGTGAAGAAGTCCTGAGCGAATTACGAAGAAGACGAAGTGACCGCGGAGTGAAAGTGCTAGTGAATAGTGACAGTGGTGTTCTGTAAAGTGCGCTGAGTTAGTGATTCATTGTTTGCGTGCATCGTGTAGTCTTAACGAACGATTTGTGAGTGCAGTGAATCCCTGTTATTGTAAGTCGCGAATAAATAAACGCAGAAATTTCCAAGGTGTTTTGACTCTATCCCGCACGCTCGTAACAATACTAAGATTTTAGTTTAAAGACGTACTAATATTTTAGTATCATAGATTGGTCTATTTTTTACTTATTGTTACTTTTACTTACTTACCTTAAAGAATCTATTACACTAAAATAAACTTATTTTCCTTAACTTTTACTAAGATTTTAGTGTAATAGATTTTTCTAGAAGACTATGATTTTAGTATGATAGAGTCTTAAAAATAATAGAAACCCATGCATTGTTCGTTTTTATGTGACCTAAACGACTTACTTTTGACGAGTGGTGTCAGTGGCTAAAAACATAGTTTCCCTTCCTACTCTTTTATTAGTAAAGGATGGAAAGGGGAAGTGGATTTGACAAGAGTAAACTCATAGAAAAGTGTCATATCCTCAGTGCGTATCTTCTCAGCGTTTCTGTTCGCTATTTCAGCGAATTTTTCTGTTTAGTTTAGGTACATTTTTTTTTAACTAATCCTTTATTTCCCAGCATATATGGCGTTCGTGAACGCAGCACAAGAGCGAGGTGTGATCAGTTCCTCGGAGTGTGACTACGCGCGCGCTGTTGGAGAGTTCTTCAATGGCACTTGCGCCCCCGGTGCCCTTGATGCCACTCATGCCATCTCTGAGTCATCGGTAACTGCTTTTAGTGTTTATACTGTTCTATTACTCTTTAGATATATAAATTCTATTTTTTATAATATAATGTGTCAAACTCGCAAGCGGCTTGAATCCACCGAAATAGAAAGCGACTACCCATAAACATCCGCAATTGCAGCGCTGCCTACCCTTCATTGACGGAGACGCACACAAAGAGGACATTTCCCCTTCCTATGCGTCTCCACCGTCAAATACACTTTTCCTTTCCACCCTTTTCTTAGGAAAGGGACTAAAATTAGGCCTCCGGCACCACACTAATCAGACTGTACGCGGAATTGCTTCGACTTCACGCCTGTCTGTGTGGTCGTGGTATTGCTGGGACGAGCCCTACAGTGCGAAGATGTTAAAGCGGGCTCTACCACTGTTATATTTGTTATACAGGTTCTTAACAGAACAACAAAAACAACAGTTCAGGCTTTGTGGAGGTAGATGACCCCAAAGTTTAGAATCCTGTATATTCTGTAGTAATATAAAGAGGAAATATTTGTATTTTTGTATATATTGAATTAACTCAAAAACTACTGGGTCGATTTCAACAATTGTTACAAAGTTAGAAAGGTAGTTTATCAGATTGTAACATAGGCTATGTTTTTTTTACATAGTTAATTTTTTTTGTGTTTTTTTGGCAATAGCTTATGTTAATTTTTCTTCCAGACTTTCGACGCGAATACTCTTTGTTCAGTTTGCAAGCCTACCGTTACTGTTGCTGAGACTAACTGTGAGTATACCTACTAGGGTAGAGTACACACCTTTGACTAAACTCTCGCACAACTGTTGTGCGATTTTGTCAATTCAACTGTTTAGTTGCACAACTAAATATCGAGCAGTGTCACCTCTATATAGCTCATAATCAAAGCGAGAAACAGTTTTGCGATAGTTTAGTCATTGGTGTGTACACGCTCTAAGTAAATCGTTTTAGAAATTACTAATACAGGGTGTTCACAAATCTAACATACAAGATATTTAAAAATCTACATACAGGTGTTCACAAATCTGTATACAGGTGTTTACAAATCTGTATACAGGGTGTTCAAAAATCCAATATACAAATTGTTCACAATCTGTATACAGGATGTTCACAAGTCTAATATACAAATTGTTCACAATCTGTATACAGGTGTTCACATATCTGTATACAGTATGTTCACAAATCTGTATACTGGATGTTCACATATCTGTATACAGGATGTTCACATATCTGTATACAGGTGTTTACAAATTAATATACAGGTGTTCACAAATCTGTATACAGGTGTTTACAAATCTGTATACAGGGTGTTCAAAAATCCAATATACAAATTGTTCACAATCTGTATACAGGATGTTCACAAGTCTAATATACAGGATGTTCACATATCTGTATACAGATGTTTACAAATTAATATACAGGATGTTCACATATCTGTATACAGGGTGTTTACAAATCTTTATACATAATTTTCACAATTCTAATATACAAATTGTTCACAATCTGTATGCAGGTGTTCACAAATCTAATATACAGGTTGTTCACAAATCTGTATACTGGTGTTTACAAATCTGTATGTAAGTTGTTCACAAATCTCTATACAGAGTGTTCAATAACTTAACCAAATGCAAGTTTTTAAACATTATTTACCAGTTAATTATTTTTTTACAGTTACCTGCGCGTATGACTACACCAACATGTACTACGGCAACAACGGCTCGCTGGCCTGTCTCGCTGACCCGGAGACAGACGTCGCATTTGTAGAGATACAGAATATTGATTGTAAGTTCTTACTCTTTATAACACCCTTTATTAGACTCGCCAGCTAAAAAAGACAGGACAGGATGATAATCAAAGAGGCTAGTTTCGTAACCCATAAAATTTCTTATAAATGTAGAGGCTAGTCTGGAAGTCTGGAAGGACACACACACTTTTTTTAGTTCTGCGCGGACAAAGTCGCCAGCGAAAGCTAGTAACTTGTATACTATTTTGTAATATACGTATATTACGTTGTAAGAATGACATTCAATTGTCTAAACTAATATTATAAAGGAGAACGATTTGTTTGTATTTTTGTATGTATTAATAACACAAAAACTACTGGCCCTTTTTAAAAAATTACTTGTTTAAATAAAAAAACCGCGTTATCAGTGAGTGACATAAGATATACTGTTTATTTTTTTTTTGTAATTTAACACGGGCTAACTAACTAACTAGCTGTATCACACAAATCGTGAGATACAGCTAGTTCTTAATAAGAAAAAGCGTCGTTTTTATTTAATCTACTCTGCAAAAATGGTATACATAATTAACTAGCTGTTCCCGTGCGGCTGAAATAATGAAAATTCTATTTTATTGTTTACATTTGTCAAATTATCAATAGCAAATGTCAAAATGACATGACATGACAATCCTTGACAATCTTGCTTTCTTGATGTTGGCAGCAACTTATGGTTTCTTTCCCATATTAGGGTTTTTATCCAAAATATTTACCCCCTAAGTTTAATGGCGTGAAAATGAAGCCTAAAGCGTGACGCAAGTGTAGGGCTGTTTATTAAAAAAAGGAATTATTCAAAAATATGCTGTAATAGCTGACATCTTAGGCAACAAAGGAGTGTGTGTTTACGCTTTATTGTAATAGTATAGATAAATTAAAATAAAATGTGTACTTTTCCAGCGCAACTGTCTTCGCTCGGTATCCAAGGGTCTCAGTTCCGAGCACTTTGTCGCAACAACACGCTAGCTGTTAGTAACGGCACTTCAGACATCGACCAAGCCTGTCTACTGGCTTATGTCGTCGACTCTGAACTACTAGCCAGAAGGTAAGTTACTTAGCTTACGACACTTACTGTCCCACCAAATTGTAAACTGTTTACAATTCAACGTGTAAAGTATGTGATGGAAATATGGGATTTTGTTTACTTATGACAGTGACGTCATTTTAAGATATCTGAGCCATCAGCCAATGGTGGGACAGGCCCTTATGTACAAGTTTTATTGTTTAACAATTAGATGGTACTCGTTTATACTGTACTGTACTGTACTGTACTGTACTGTACTGTACTGTACTGTACTGTACTGTACTGTACTGTACTGTACTGTACTGTACAACTAATGGTCATTCGGTTACTGTACAAACTGTAAACAATTTATTTATTTGAGTTGATATTAGGAACAGCGCCATCTTTCGTTACAGAAAATAAACTTTTTAACGCCCTTGTTTTGCCATAATATACAACGCCATCTTTTGATAAACTCTTATCAACTTCTTGTAAAAGTAATAGTGAAGTATTTTTGATGGCTAATATAAAACTTTTGTTACTTTTGGCCTAGTTTACTCAGATTTATCTCAATTGTTACTAATTACTAAAGTAATGGACATTAGTATTCTTTTAATTAGTAGTAATTATCTTGATGTTATTAAAACTACGAAGCATTTGTTATTGTAGTATGAAAAACCATGGTATGATAGATATGAAACAAAAACGTTACCTACTTAACCCATAAAGCGAACAAACTTTGTTGTCAACAGTCAAATTAACTTAACAAATCCTTTACAGATCGGATCCCTTACTTAACAGTCTAAGTGTCCTCTTAGACAACCTAGACCAGTATTTCGGCTACAACGCGGCCTCCGGCACACAGCATATAAACTTAGAAATGTACTCCGCGTTCGATGGAATAAATGATTTATTATTCAAAAATACAGCAGTTGGTTTATCCGAACCATCGACAGAAACCGCCAACGAACCAGCGAGGAATTACATAGAGTTGTTCAGACATCTTGACACTTGTACCAGTGTTGCCCCGCCTTCGTTAGGTCAAGCGACGCGTAACTACTCTATGTTAACGCTATTCCTTTTGACAGCTCTTACGCGCGTTTTCGTGTTTTAAATGTCAAAAATTTTATTTGTGTAAATTAGTGTTTTTAAATAGTTTTTTTATTAAGTTGATATTTTGCATATAAATAATTTTGATTGTAATTCAGTAAGATTCGTTAAGAGTTTTTATTATTTTCTTTTTTGCAGCATTTCGTGACATTTTATTTGTTTTAAAATATTGTACTAAGTACTTTCATGTAATTTATTACTAGTTTGTAAAATGTGTGCCAAATGTTTTTACCAGTGTGCGTGATTTTTTTTTCAAATAAATTTCTTTTTTTTTAAATGTTGTTTTAATTGGGAATCCATACCTTCACCAAAACGGACATTTTTTAAGCATTTTACGACCAAAATATTATATCGTAAATAGCTTTCTAATGGAAAAGAATCTATATAATTACTTTAGTATATTTTGAAATCGTTTACTTTGAGTAGCAGTAAAATAAAAACACCATTTTCAAACAATTTTTAATCAATACAATATTTATAAAATTTCCTAGATTTAAAATTAAAACAATAGAATGTTTAAATGATTACAAGTTTCGTGATTTCCCTTAACTCCATACATTTTACTTGAACACCTCAATTTTATTCCAAATTCTTAATTGTACACAAATAATTTACAAACTTACACTAACTGCATGCATGTATGGCAGTATTTGATATATAATCTATGTAGAAACAGTAAAACCTCGATAACTCAAACCTCTATAACTTCAAAAAATATGTTCCCTTCGCATCAGAGCCCAAAACCTCTACAACATACCCTTGATATTTTAAAACCTATATAACTTAAAATATTTTGTGTTTCCCTTGGACTTTAACTTATCGAGGTTCTACTGTAATAGATATATGACATATAACTAAAGAGTATGCACCTTTGATTATATGGAGGTCACATAGTTTGGGCTTATTCGGACATCTGCAAGTCCATACTAGTACAATTGGAAAAACGTACTAGTACACTTAGTACCTTTAGTACTTCAGATTTGTAAGAACACAATACATGAATAGAATATAACAAGTGTCATATATTACTTCACATCAAATTTTAAGCAGGGTCAAACATATGTTATTAGCGAAAATAAATTTAACTTATAAATGATTTTATCCATTTCTGATTCTGATTACCGAAGGTGGATGCTTCAATCTGGCAAATATACAACCAAATCAAACACCGATATCGTGTAGTGTACTAAAAGTGCCAAATGTCCGATTAACAGAAGCCGTTCAGTAACGTTACTTTTAGTACAGTGCGGAGTAATATTACTTTTTAGTACATTGTGTACTACTCAAGACTAGGTCACACAACTCGTTTTTTAGTCATGCAACTAAACAGTTTGGGCTGCAAAACAAATGACAGTTATACAACAGTTGTGAGATATTTTAGTCTAAAATGTAGTCGATATTTCAAATATTTTGTGTTGTAACGGCTTTACCCGCAACAATCTATTTTAGGTTATTTTTGCCTCATTTTTGTTCTAGATTAGGTATCTATAGTTACTATATCTATAAAAAACATTCTTTTACTAACTTTTTATTTCATAATTTACATTTTAAACATGAGTTTAAGTAAACTAACAATAACCATAACTTAATTATATCTTGAAAAGTACCTTTTAAGTCAATATAATTTAAAATTTTTATATCTTTAATCATTAATATAGTTTGTCTAAATAAGATAGACTAGTTTGACAGTTCACTTCAAATTTGGTAGGGATGGGTTGTGTAAATTCAGTCATGAATCTTATCGATTTTCGATTTTTATTCTTATAGAAGTTGGAATCGATAGATAGTTATAACCTATGAATTTAAAAAAAACACTGTTTTCTCTAATTAATAATGACCATTGAGAGTAAATAAATTTTTATTAATTATAAAGAGTAAAGAGAGTAAATAATTTTAGTTGAGTTCGATAATTATTTAAACCGAATATCGATAGTTCATAATTGTTCGCTGCGTGTTTCGTCACTACGATACCTGTCTATTAAGTACGGCATTTGTATTCATACAAATTTAATTCCATACTTCATATGCGTCATTTATCAAACTAATCGAACTTATTTTGACAAACTATAGTAAAGAATTGTTAAATATGGCTAGCATAAGTAATATACAATTTAAAAACTATAAACTTAAAAAAAAACGACAGTATCTGAACTTTTTACGAATAATCCCCAACCGTCACCCCTCGGGAACAGATGAGAATAAAGTTTTTCCGTCCCACCTTTTCCGACGAGGGGACGGTTGGAACTTATTGTTTACGGTTCCATCTGTCACCTCATTTCTGATAGTGGAACTAAAAGGTAGGATGGATAAAACTTTATTCTCACATGGGGACAGAGCGGGAATAATCCCTTTTTACAGCAATTTCCATATTTCTCTTGCACAAATAACGCAGTAACGTATAGCACGAAAATTTGCGAACGTCATAAAGTATGATATTTGTGCTTATCCATAAAACACAAATCTCATACAAATGTAGACATTTTTATAATAAATGACAAATGAGTGAACAGCCAGCGGAATTAAACAAAGTAGGGAAGTAAGCGCTGCCCATAGACATTTTTAATGCCTTGCCTAATCAAGAGGGGATGCAAAGACAGACAATTCCCCTACCTATATCCTATCTTTTGTATCCACTTCCCCTACCCATCATTTTTTTTTATAATATAAGGTGACAAATGAGCAAGCGGCCACCTGAATCCACCGAAATGGAAAGCGACCGCTGCACATAAACATCCGCAATTGCAGCGTTGCCTACCCTTCATTGATGGAGGAGACGCACATAAGGACATTTCCTCTTAATATGCGTCTCCATCACCGTCAAATCCACTTTTCCTTCCATCCTTTCCTCTTAAGAAAAGGGTGAAAAGGAAAAAGGACTAAATTTGGGCCTCCAGCACCACTCATCAGACGACACGCAGAATTACCTCCACTTCGCCCGTTTTCTGTGTGGTCATGGTGTATAAAAACAGTGGAAAATGGACCATAATTACGCCTCCGGCATATATAAATGTTATGTTATAATTTATTAAATTTTTGTGCAAGTTTTAGTTGTATTGTAAAGTAGAAAGTAAGCGAAGATACTGCATTGCGCAGCACAATTCACAATCATACTAACATTATAAATGCGAAAGTTTAGATGGATGGATGGATAGATGTTTGTTACAGTTTGTAGCCTAAACGGCTGAACGGATTTCAATGAAATTTGGCATAGATGTGGAGGTCTGGAAGAACATATAGGCTATTCACTTTTGTTTTTTTTTCAATGCCACGCGGACGGAGTCGCGGGCGAAAGCTAGTATATTATAAAAGACTACCAAGTTTATAGTAGCATATCTAAACAATGCTTTGTTAAACATAACAATTATACTACTATAATAATAAAAATTGTATGCATGTAAAATGTAACTGTCATTACATCTAAAAGTTCTGTACTAAATAATCTTAGATTTATAATATACTAGCTTTTACTCGCGACTCCGTCAGTGTAGAATTAAAATATAAGTGAGTAGTGTGTGTTCTTCCCGACTGTTCTCTACGTCTATGCCAAATTTCATCAAGATCCATTCAGGTATTTCAGCTACAAACTCTAATAAACTCTAAACTCTAAGCTTACAAACATCCATCCATCAATCTAAACGTTCGCATTTATAATATTGGTAGGTTTCTTCCGAGACTGTCTGCGTGCTTTAAAAAAAAGTTACTTATGTGTTCTTCCAGACTATCGTCTACGTCTATGTCACGTCGAGATCCGTCGAGCTGTTTAAGGTACAAATTCTAACAAACATCCATCCATCTAAACTTTCGCATTAATTAGTAATATAGTGAAAAGTGATGGAGTGATTTTTGATGTCTAATCGAAACTCTAAAAATGTAATTTTGTATTATAAATGAAAATATTTACTTATTTAATTGCATTTATATGAATTTTAGTATATTTTTAATAATTAAAGTCAAACTGTAAATTAAATTTGATTTCGCGCCATTGCGGTTTACAGTCCAAAGAATAATCACTTAATCTTTGACATGTGCATTATTAAAAAAAAAAAACAATAAAACCTCTATAAGTCAAGTGACAATGTCAACTTATCAAATGTGATGTTAAGAATTTGCTAGATATAAATAACGATTTTATTATATGGTTTTATAACTTATAAAAATGTCGGACAAAGAATGTTCTGGAAGTTCCACGTCGGAATCATCTAGTTCATCATCATCATCCGAAACAGAAACGGACTGCGCGGACAAATCGGAAGCAGAGACCGACAATGAAAAAGATTGCGCAGAAAAAAAATCAGAAACGGACTGCGCCGTCGAAAAGTCCGAATCAGATTGCGTGGAAAAATCCGATTCGGATACCACAAAAACTAAAAAACCAGAACCGCAACAACCTCCTGAACTATGCAATGTCAAAACTCAAACTAACGATAGCAAAAAAGATTGTGAAACAGAAAAAATAGCTATAATAAAAAAAGAAATAAAAACCATTAAAAAGAAGGACGCATGTACACAAACAGAAGAGATAGCAGTCGGAGAATCAGCTATATTATGTACAATAGAGGCTGATACCCCTGAAGATAAAATTATGGCTTGGTTTAACCCTGTCGATCAGCATTGGGATGGCTAAAACTTGAATCACTGTAGAATTCTAAGAGAAAATCTATTACACTAGCTTTCGCCTGGGACTCAGTCTGCGTGGAATTAAAAAAAAACTAAAGATACATGTGTTCTTCCAGACTATCTACATTTATACCAAATTTCATTGAAATCCATTCAGCTGTGGCTACAAACTCTAACATCCATCCATCTAAACTTTCGCATTTATAATATTAGTATATTCGAGTAATATAGAAAACTAACTGTAAATAATGGATTTAAATTATTTAAACTTTCGTGAGACATTTTATAATTATTTAACGACTTACTCACGTCATACTTTTTCCGGTGACGGCACCAACAGTTTCAGACACTGCGGGGGTCCTTCAGCGCGAGGGCGACACAGAAGAAGGACCCCGCAGGGTCTGAAACTGGTTGGTGCCGTCACAGGATAAAAAGTATGACATGAGTAAGCCGTTAATTAATTCAATAATGGATTTGTCCACAAATGTATATTATTGTTATTTAGATATCGGTGAATAAAAGTTTTTGTGTTTTAAAAAAATTAATACAATACTGCGACTAAATAGATTTAAGATTGACTTGTAAAATTTTTTTATAGATGCAAAAAATAAAATCCAATCAAATTAATATTTTATTAAACAAATTAGCTAAAAACAATTCACATTAATTCTAGAAATATGTTACAAAAGGATCTTCCTATTGTGAAAAACATCTTTGTTTTGTAAAATAATGTATTCATACAGATATACTAGCTTTCGCTTGCGACTTTGAGTGGTATAAAAAAACATAAATAACCTGTGTTCTTCCAGATCTTCCAAATCTGTGACAATTTACAAGTTTAATTCAATAGTTTAACAAACTAACAATTTCCTTGTAAATGATCGGAAGGGAAAGTGGATTTGACAGTGGAGGAGACATGGGTAGAGGAAATACTCTTTGTTTGTCTCCTCGTACAAGTAGGCAACACTTGTATAAACATGTCCATAGGGGCAGCACTCACTTATTACCCAATTATGATATAAAAAAGGAAATGGTACACCGCAGAATGCCTGTACTTTAGGCATAAACCTGTCAAATTAGAGTTCTTATACTTTCCTGTTGACTCTTAACTTCACAAAACACTTTTCAACACTTTTCAACCACTTTACAACACTCTTCAACCACTTTCCAACACTCTTCAACCACTTTCCAACATTTTTCAACCACTTTCCAACACTTTTCAACACTTCACTTCACTGATGCAGTGTATGGTGTGGGGTGAGGACTGCGCCCCCCGCGGGCAGTACCGAGGTGATGACGGGGGCGGCTCCCCCCACCCCGGACACGCCCCCAACACCTCCGCCGCAGAATATCACCTGCAACATATTAATTTATACTATAGCTTCCGCCTGCGACAATAAAATATTAAAAAACTGGCTTCCGCCCGCGACTCCGTTCGCATGTTATTGAAAAAAACAAAATTGAATAGCCTGTGTGTTCTTCCAGACTATCATCTACATGTATACCAAATTTCATCGAAATCCATTCAGACGTTTAGATTACAAACTGTAACAAACATCCATCCATCTAAACTCTCACATTTATTAGTACTAGCTTTCGCCCGCGACTCCGTCCGTGTGGATTAAAGAAAAAACAAAAGTGAGTAGCCTATGTGTTCTTTTCTTTCCTCTACATCTATACCAAATGTCATCGAAATTTGTTTAGCCGTTTAGGCTACAAACTAATATACATACTGTTCAAGGAGTTTTTACACGTTTTAGAGTCAAGCCATTAGAAAAGAAGAAGAAATTAAATTATTTAAAATTAGAGCACATTGTCGACGTCATCACTTTTTTATAATCTTTTTCTGTACATATTTTATCATTACACATGTCTCCGTTAAAAATAGTTTTATTTTTAAATCTTTTACGATATACACATACATAATACATTTATAATACATACTACATTTATAATATTAGTATGAAGTATGATAGTGACAACTAGCTTTTTAATTGTGAAAGAACTTTGAAATCGGTCCAGTTCTTGACTTATTTCAATACATACAAAAATACAAATCTTTCCTTTTTATATTAGTCCATACTAATATTATAAAGAGGGTAACTTTCACATCCACACACCATTTCCGTGTGAAACTGTACTGACCTGAGACACTGGCGTGGCGGGCTGTCCTGGCGTCGCTAGTACGTATTGCTGCTGTCTTACGCCACCCACCTGTAAAATTCAATGACGTATCTATACTTATATAATAAAGCCTAAACACACATTACTTCGTGGCGTATAAACAATCACATATAGTTTTGAATAATTATTTCTTTAATAAAAAAGCCCTTTATACGTCACACTTTAGGTTAGGGACGCTATTAAATTTAAAGAGGTAAATAAATTGGTAACAATGTGGGAAAGTGACAATAAACTACAAGCTGCCAACATCAAGGAAGCAAGGTTATTATGGTTACGGTAATTTTGACATTTGCAATTGAGAATTTGACAAATGTAAACAAACAATTTCATGTGGGATTTTTCACAACCGTCACACCGCTCCGTCCCCACGAAGACAGATGAGAATAAAAAGTTTCATCCGTCCTACCTTTTGATGAGGGTTCGGTTGGAACTTTATTTCTTAACTGTTCCATCTGTCACCTTATTGGTGATAATGGGACTAAAAGGTGGGACAGTGATAGAGCCCGCTTTAACATCTTCGTACGAATGGGCCAGCTCGTCCTAGCAATACCACGACCAAACAGACAGGCGTGAAGTAGAAACAATTCCGCGTACAGTCTGATGAGTGTGGTGCCGAGGGACTAATTTTAGTCCCTTTCCTTTTCCACTCTTTTCTTAAGAGGAAAGGAATGGATTTGACGGTGGAGACGCATAGGAAGGGGAAATGTCCTCTTTATGTGCGTCTCCGTCAATGAAGGGTAGGCAGCGCTGCAATTGAGGATGTTTATGGGCAGTCGCTTTCCATTTCGGTGGATTCAGGCCGCTTGTTTGCCATCTTATATTATCAAACGGATGAAACTTATTATTCTCATGTGGGGACAGCGGGGTGACGGTTGGGAATAATCGTTAATGCGGATGAAACAACACGGGGACAGCTAGTTAATAAAATCTAGTGTTATAGTTACCGCATGTATTTGCTGAGGCAAGGTCTGTCGATGTCCTTCATCCACTACCACTTGCTCCAGGAATGTGCCGCTGTTACCTGCAATTTATTTTACTTTTTAATTATCTATACTATTATAATAAAGCGTAAACACACTTCTTTGTTGCCTAAGTCAGCAATTGCAGCATATTTTGGAATCATTCTTTTTTTAATAAAAAGCCCTACACTTCTAAGCTATATATTTTCACGCCATTAAACTTAGGGGGGTAAATATTTTGGATAAAACCCTAATGTGGGAAAAAGATCATAAGTTGCTGCCAACATCAAGGAAGCAAGATTGCCATGGTTTGTCATGTCGTTTTGACATTTGCTATTGACAAATGACACATGTAAACAATAAAATATTTTTTTTATAATTTCATGCGGATGAAGTCGCATGGGAACAGCTAGTCTATATAATAAAATTGGACTGTCTGTTTGTAATATGAAAAAAAAAACTAGAGAATACGTGAAGATATTGTAATTGCGTTGCATTTCTCTATCGTATTTAAATTTTTTGTCTGTCTGTCTGTCCGCAAGCCGCGTTTGTTCCAGGTAATCTCCGGAACGGCTGGGCCGATTTCGACCGGACTTTCACTGAAGGGTAGCTGACATAGACAGGCATATTATAGGCTACTTTTTTATCTTAACCCTTAAATGCATATTGTTGCCAAAAGTCTACAAACAAAAGTATAGTTTTTATTGAAACCAAGATTTTTTAAATTATTCTTCCCCTAATTTGTGACTGAAACGTATATACTGAAATATTTATTTCATAATTAAATAAAAATCATGCATTTAAGGGTTAATATCGCGTGAACGAAGTCGCGGGCAACAGCTAGTCGGATAATCTATTGTTGCGTCATTTCTACAGCACGGTACTAATTCTGTTCTAATATATTTCTTAATGTAATTCAACACGGAATTACTTCCACTTCACGCCGTTATGTGTATTATGGGGTCAATGTTAGTGTGAATTGTCTATTGTGGGCTACCAGTGTTACTCACCCGTGGAGGCATTTCCAGTATCACAGCCGAAAAGACAGTACTGTACTGTCCAACGAGGCTCGAATGGTATGTGAGTTTTCACCTGGAAATACAATTTAGAATGTTATCTTACTAGTATAATTGCGATGGATGGATGTTTGTAGATTATTTAAGTCCATTTCTCTTTACCACCCTTTTCATAAGGAGGGGGTGGGAATGGGAAGTGGATTTGATGATGGAGGAGATGCATAGAAAGGGGAAATATCCTCTTTATGTGCGTCTACTCCGTCGGATAAGGGTAAGCAACGCATCTGCAATTGCGGATGTCTATGGGCAGCAGTCGCTTCGCCATTTTGGCGGATTCAGGTGACCGGTTGCTCGTTTGCCACCTTGTTATATAAAAAAAAAAAGATAAAATTTAACAGATCTCGAAAGTTAGATGTAGAACGTTTGGAAGAACACATAGGCTACATTTTGAACACCAAGCATTCAGAATCACGGGGTAAAGCTAGTAAATGATATATATCTTTTTTTATCAACACCTACAGACTTGGTCTGTACTTTTTTCGCACAGTTTATAGTTTTTTTCGTTTTTTTTCTTCAATTTTTTTTATAACACAAGGTGACAAACGAGCAAGCGACCTGAATCCGCCAAAATGGCGAAGCGACTACCATAACTTTTATTGACGGAGGAGATGCACATAAAGAGGACAATTCCCCTTCCTATGCTCCTCCTCTTCCGTCAAATCTATTTCCCCTTCCCATCCTCTTACAAGAAAACGGTGGTAAAGAGAAAGTAACTTAAATTAGGCCTCCGGCACCACACTTTTCAGACTGTACGCGGAATAGGCAATATGCATGACGCCAAATTGTGCCAAACTTTTTTTTAAGTATACTTTATTACTATAAAAACATTCCTGCAAAGATTTTTTTAAATATAATGTGATTTAGTGGCAAAATTGAATCATTAAAAAGTGACATTTTTTAAAATTAAAACGCACACTATTGGTGGAAGCAAGTTGCTTATCTAATATGGCGTCGCTTGTTGACAATACACACTTCATTTACGTTACTTTATATAGAAATACACTCTTCAAGTATTTTACTGTAAACACGATATCAAAACTAACTTTAAAATAAAAAATCAATGAATAGAATTATTAATAACCACTTATTTGTACCAGGAATAATAAAAATGAATCGATTTTTGACTTTTTGACCTTGAGATACTTTGTTGTTTTTTACATCGAAGTGACATCTGAGCGTATGTTATGAATGGAATAAGACAATTGACGTCAATTGTCTCATGTCAACTCCGGTGGCATTTTAATCGCACGAAAATAATCGTAATTTTATTTTATCTTTAGCTGAATGGTTGAATATTTTCGCGTCAAATTTGTCTGGTTACAAGTAGAATCTTTTAAAAAAAAACATACATATTCCCTATTACTTCCACTTCACGCCTATCTGTGTGTTCGTGGTATTACACTCGAGTCCTAAGATAAAGCGGGCTCTACCAATGTTAAAATCTGTAAAACCTCCATTTTTTAAACATTTTGACATATAAAACACAGGCTGTATACCTTTAACTCAGTGGTCAGCATCAGTATATGCCGACACGGCAGCCGGAACACCTTGCTGAAGAGGCAGGAGCACTCCTGAGTTGATGTACCGTATTTGCATATCGCCGCACTGCTGTGGCGTCTGACAATATATGAAAAATGAAAAAAAAAATTAAAAAAATATCTATTTAAAAAAAAAATTACCACAAAATTAACCTAATTTACATTTTTTTACACACTAAACACAAACTAAAATAAACACAAAAACAGTAAAGTGCGTAAATAAGTATGTAAGCAAGTATATATATATAATACACTGGCTACAGACTCCGTCCGCGTGGAATTATACAAAACAAAAGTGTCTATGTGTTCTTCCAGACTATCCTCTACAATTATACCAAATTTCATTGAAATCCCTTCAGCTGTTGCTACAAACTCTAACAAACATCTATCTAAACTTTCGCATTTATAATATAATATTAGTATGATAAGAAAATAAGGAGTAAAAGGTTAGCATGGGGGCATGTTATGAGGAGGGATGAATCGCATGTAACAAGAAGTTAGTTATGAGTATGGAAGTACATCGGTAGAGGTAGACATAGAAAGAGATGAATGGATTGCGTGAAAGGTGACATGATGAAGGGAGTGATGTTTGAGATGACGGATGATAGTTATTTGGAGAACGAAAACCCGGTGCGCCCTACGGGAGTAGGATAAGGCAGGGGAGATGATGATGGTATATTATCTATTCTATTCTATAACATTATAAATGCGAAAGTTTAGATGGATGTTTGTTAGAGTTTGTAGCCACAGCTGAACGGATTTCAATGAAATTTGGGATCATTGTAGAGGTTAGTCTGGAAGAACACATAGTGATAGGTATGTGAGTAATAGAAACGACGCTTGCTTAATGCAGACTGGTATATCGACGTCACCTAGACGTAGTCGTCGGGCATGGTACATGTACACACAACACATAGGCTACACTTTTGTTTCTTTATAATTCCACGCGGACGGATACTAATCTTTCCCACATGAAGGTTTTATAACTGGGACGATTTCAAATTCTTACATGAAAAAGCTACATTACAGATGTATGCTCAAATTTAATTCGGAAATCTAGTTTTTCCGATTTTTTTACACAATTTAAAAAAAAATTAAATAACATTAAAACTATAGGAAATTGGGCAAAAAACGTTGCGTTTACATTTACGTTTGTCAATTATTAATACAAAATGTCAAAATGACATGATAAACCTTAGCAACCTTTCTTTCTTGATGTTGGCAACAACTTATGGTCTCTTTCCCACATTAGGGGTTATCCAAAATATTTACCCCTAAGTTTAATAGCGTGAAATATAGCCTAAAGCCTGTAATTATCGGGCTTTTCATTAAAGAAAGAATTATTCAAAAATATGCTGTAATTGCTGACATCTTAGGCAACAAAGAAGTGTGTGTTTACGCTTTATTAT